GAGGGAGAGGAGGGAGGTAGAGAAATTCCAAAATACACAGTTTCTTTGTATTCATAAAAGGCATCTTGTACTAAAATTTGGTGTTCCTAGGTCTTATCGTCTCCGAGATATAGGCGATTATACGAATGGAAAATCGGGAAAACCCCCATAAGGAAGAAGTGGGCGGAAAATCAAAAAAATAAAACACACTTGCACAGCGTACACATATAAGGCATCTTTGTACAAAATTTGGTGTCTCTAGCTCTTATAGTCTCTCAGATCCAGGTGTTCATACGGACAGACAGACAGACAGGACTAGATCGAATCGTCTCGTCATGCTGATGAAGAGTATACATATATACTTTGTGGGGTCTGCCACACCTCCTTCTGCCTGTTATATTTTTCGGCTCGCGGAAACCTAATATACTCTTGTACATTTCATGTACAGAGTATAAAAATTTAGGATCGATTTTCCCTTTCTCGGTACTTGAGCTCACGTAAAGGGTGTATAATTAGACATTTACGAAGGACTTGTGTCTATGTGAGTGTATGCATGCCTATGCGTGACTGTGTGAGCATGTTTGCAGTCAACCAAACAGCAACATCAACAACAGCTGCGGGCAGCGCTTGGGCAACAATTATATTTATGGCTATAACTTCCTGTTAAATCGGTCTATAATAATGAAACTTGGCATATGGACACATAATCACTAATTGGGGGTATTTGAGTTCGAAATTCCAAGAATTAAGGGAGCTATGGTAGACCACTAATTGCGTGGGAGAGGAGGGGTTGAGGGAATTTTCCAAAAAACACATTTTCCGCGTATTCACATAAGGCATCTTAGACTTCAAATTTGATGTCCCTAGGTCTTATACAGGGATGCCACTGAAATCTTTTCCGCCCAAGTTTCGCCTTGAGGCCACAGAAATTTTTTTGGGATGTTTCAAATCTTGTTTGCTTTGCTAGGAGTTTTGATTAAAAACACTAACAAAAACATTTTTCAAAATACAAATAATCATTGGAATATAAACCTTATAGTTTTTCTGAACAATCTGCATCAACAATATTTTGCATATCCTACGGAAATATTTTTAAATTAGCAAATTTCTAAAAGTTTACTTAAAACACCAGCATTCACACACAGCATCCAAAACTACCGCACAATAGAGATGCCCCATTGGCCCAAATGGAACATTACATTTTTCGAACATCACAATTTGTAAAGTCCAAAGGTGTGAGTCAAACGAAAGTTAAAAATAAAATATATAATTGACGCAATTCTTGTTTCAAATAAGTGTGTCATAACTGTGTATTAATATGAAACTTGGCGAAAATTGTGTTGGTAAGTCTGTTTGTTAGCGAAAATGTGAATGGTCATAATTTGTCATTTGAATATACAATACGGATCAGGGAAATAAAATGTATGTACATTTTGGTAATTTCTATATTCAATTTAAAATGCTAGTTTTTGCAAGGGAAAACATAGATCGTCTCAACTGCTCGTAATTTTAGTCGAATTTATTCCAAATAATGTTTTAGAAAAATGTTACATATAAATTTAATTCTTAATAAGCAATATAATTCTTTTGTGGGATCAGATGCGCTTCTCAAACATTGGCGTTGTAATTTTTCAATAATGAGTTTGCGTTTTCGCAAATTGCTGAGGGGAAGTCCGGAAAAATGAAACCTTTGTTGTTGTAACAACAGCTGCGAAAAGAGAGCTTCGGCAGAGAGTATATTTATGGCTTTAACTTTCTTCATAATTAACCTATCAGTACATAATAAGTACATGGTTGTAAATAACAAATTGAAGTTTGAAATTCAAAGAACTACGGGGTTATGGAAAATCACTGATAGTGGGGGAGTGGGGGGATGCATCGAAAAAAAAACTCAAACTCTGGCTATAAAAATGTGAGCGAAAAAGAGCAGCTGAAAATGCCGATGAACGCGAATCAAGTTTGCAAGGTCTCCGCGAAAGGTCATCTACATATCTATATATATAAAACAGTTTGTCCTGACTGACTGACTGATTGGTGATCAACGCACAGCCCAAACGGTAAAGGCTAGGAAGCTGAAATTTGGACTCAAGTATCCTTTCATAGTCAAGGTCCCCACTAAGAAGGGATTTTGGAAAACTCGAGCTCCAAAGGGGGGAAAACAGGCTCCAACGTTTGTATGAAAAATCTACAGTTTTCATCTGATTAACTTTAAACTTAGTTTGTATACTCTCAGAACAATTCCAAGAAAAACTGTATACTTGGTTTTTTGATATTTTTTGGGGCCTAAAATATGGGAGTTTTCCTGTAAAAAAATGTTGGGGCACAAAAGCAAACCGCGTCAACAGCCCACAGCCTACACGGTAAAAGCTAGGATGCTGAAATTTGGGCTCAGGTATCCCATCATGGTGTAGATGAGCACTAAGAAGGGATTTTGGAAAATTCGAGCTCCAAAGGGGAGAAAACGAGATCCAAAGTTTGTTTGAAAAATCCGCATTTTTTAGCCGATCGACATAAAATTTGGTTTCTGAAATCAATTAAAGAATACAAACAAAACTGCATACTTAGATTTTCGAAATTTGTGTTGGAGCTTGAATTATTGGGGTTTTAATATTTATTCACTATTTCAAATGAAAAGTTTGTGTTATAAATTTAGTCCGATCGATTTAAAATTTGGATAATGTAATCTACGTAACTAAATCTACAACTTTCTACAACTTCTATGTGTGCGGTTCTCTACGTACGGTTGAAAAAGTAAAGAGAAACATACATATGTATGTATGTATGCCTGTGTATGAATATAGCATGTATGTACATTCGTATTAATGTATACATTGGGCAATCGAACACAGTTGTTTGATTGTAAAAAAAATAATGCTCTAAAAACAACAACAACTGCAAGTCATTAGCTCGCTCTTCTTCTTTCGTTTTGACCATTTAATGTTAATTGCAAAGGCAAAACGCCAAAAGTTTACAGTTATCGTCGCTAGACAACGACTGCGTAAGCGATAGTAAAGCAGAAACCGAATAACGGAGCTACGCATATTCTGCTTCGTATTGCGGGCAGATGTATGTATGTATATGATTTGTTCTTATTGATGTCAATAAATAATTAGATTTTGTTATTTAAATATTCTGCTTATTGCATTCAAACTTCGATATTTTGATGGTATCGGTGCCAGTGCTTTTTGATCGTGGCTCATCGCTGCACGGCATTGACACGAGTGCCGTGTTTCATATTCCGAGTTTGTGCGTGACCGTATTGACTCAATATGACACGAAAAGACTCAAATGTGAATTTAAAATTAGGATATACCCTTATAATTATTCCCCTTTTTTTGCACATAGTCTATCGTAAAACGTTGCGGTTTCTCTATATATAAAACAGTTTGTCCTGACTAATTGGTGATCAACGCACAGCCCAAACGGTAAAAGATGAAATTTTGACTCAAGTATCCTTTCATAGTATCCATCATAGTGTAGGAGCACACTAAGAAAGGCTTTTGGAAAATTCTAGCTCCAAAGGGGGGAAAACGAGCTTTAAAAAATATTAGTTATAGTGGTCATGTTCGTTTAACGAAATAGTTTGGCAAGAACAAAAATGTAACGGACTACTGAACAATTTTTTGTCAAGAACAGAAAATGTTCATTTAAATACCTTAAATGCCTTCCTACTGGTAACTTAAAGGGTGAAAGCATATGGGAAGGTTATGCACACACAAAATAAATACAATTGGAAACATTATATTGAGCCGGGTTAAGACGGGCAATACCTGCTAGTAAAAAAACGAACAGGAACGAAAGTATACCTAATGAATTTAATGAGATGATATCAGCGGAAGCTCTCGCTAAAGATCAAGATCCAGTCTTGCATAGGGTTGTGTCCAAAAGCATGTTTCATGGGCCGTGTGGAGCATTTAATAGAAAATAAAACAGATATTCAGCTAGGAAAAATGAATTATTGTGGACACAGATTGATTACATTTTATATTTTTAAATAACCACAATGTAGTGCCCTCACAAATGCGATGTAGCGAAGCAGACATGGACTTCTTGTATACTCTGTTTTATTGAACTTATATACGTACTTATATTTCCATACATTTGCCTTGTTGGTGAACTTTTTAACCTAAGTACATAATATACACTGCCATGCACTTGAATAGGGACAAGATTTGTTAGCTTTTGTTTTGTGTTTTTCTCTTTTGGGAAAAGGACTGCCTTAAAGCAGGGAACTATTCAAATTTACAATTAGCTTATAATGATTAAGAGTTATGAATTTTCACAGTTTTGCCTTTAACTATGCTAAAAACACACCAGCTCTTATACTTTCTGAGATCCTTGCGTTTATACAGACGGACGGACGGACAGACGGACATGGCTATATCGACTCGCCTTGTCATCCTGATCAAGAATATATATACTTTGTGGGGTCTGCGACGCCTCCTTCTTCCTGTTACATACATACCCAGGCTATAAAAACCCCAAAACAAAAACAAAAAAAGCTTGTCCCAATTCGAGTGCATGGCAGTATAATTCCTTACTGAGAGAGGGGAAAAATTAGGAGCGTCTATATACCAAGTTCGATTAATGTGCGTTTTTTAAATCCAGACGTTCATCCAAGAAAGACAGAGGGACGGGCATGTCTGGATAGATTTCTCTCGTCATGCTGATTAAGAAGAATGATGCTCATTGCCATCGATGGTATGCCTGTATACAGGATATATAGAAAAAATATTTCAAGCAAAATCTCTTCCCGAATCATATCGTTTCTATGACATTTATGTAATATGGTATTCTGATTTGTTTGCTCTCAGTCGTTCTATTATCTGAGTATGTTATATGTACCTATAGCTTATGGTCAATAATTCTTCTCTAGGGGTGTTACAAATGTGGACAACTAACTATAGTGGACAATTATAGTATTACTACTGTTCCTGCTTTGGAATGTTGGCATTGGGTAAAAGGGATCATTTATGTTTGTAGGGAAGAAAATATAAATAATAACACTCTTATGACAGAAATTATAGTTCTACTTGTTATTTATATAACTTTGGAATTTTTTATAGATACTTAGGAAATGTGCTGCAAAATACTATACGCTTGTTACTCATCATAAATAATTCTTCAAATTAATTTAAGCGTTTCATTGTAAAGCGTGCATACATAAGTTCATATATGATTTACATTGATTATATTAAACATATTCGAATAATTGTACGTTTGCTTTCATTAACGATATGGAAGACTTTTCAATTTTAAGTTATTTAAATTGTGTTTAAATATAGCAATTTTTTCTAATACTTAATTACAGGCCTGGCCCCGTTCCCGAATTCAACCAAATGGAAAATTTTCTTAATTCTGTAAAACGAATTAGTCGAATTAAGAAAAGTCCCCTATTTTGATTTCGCACAGTTTGATCGAATTCTGAAATGAGAACACCCTTGTAACTAAATCGTGTTATACTTATATGTATTATAATACCCAAGATGAAAGAAAACAATTATATATGTATACAAAGAAATTGGAAACAATTAGATATTTTGACATTAGCGCATCCCTCGAGTTCCGCCTGTAGGTTTTACTGTTTATTCCATAGATCCGTACTGTACTTTCTTGACTTTAAAGTATCTACAAAAAGAGGTTATTTTTTAAGGTAAGTTTCATACCAAACCATTTATATAAAAATTGGTACTTGCCTCCAGCCGCCGTACCCCGAAACGATCAATAAAACAGCAACAGCGAGGGCTGTACCAACAGCTAACGGTGCGGTCTCATCCCGATAAGAACCTGTAGCACTGCAATGGAATGATGGACCCCATTTACCGCTTTCTTTGAACATGAAACTTTGCATATGAAGGTCTCGTAGATACAGGCGAGCTATGTGTCCGGACTGATCCCCAGAATCGTGTGGTTCATATAAGATAACCGTCTGTTCCTTATCGCAAACGTATGATTTTCCCACCGGCGTTGGAAAGTACATGGGCGTGTGGGAAGGTGAAGCCAACTTAACTTCAAGGCCAGGGCGATCGGGATGCTCGAAGAGTTGATTGGAAGATGAGTATGAAAGCTCAAACAGATGAATATACCAGCCCTCACCACCAGAAGACTAAGAATATCAGAATCCAAATGGCATATTTAAATATAAAAATAAAACATATTAACATTTTGGACTAAAGATAGAAGTTAAAATATTTACTTCTTAGTATAGTTGGTAAAAATTTACAACAGCACATTTTACACTTTACATTTATAAATTGAAAATGTAGTTACACAAATTTTAAATTTGGTGAACGAACTGCATGAGATGGTATGAATAAACTTTTACAAACCTTTTTGAATGTCATAGAGAGTTTAAAGCCTTTGAAATCCATTGATAGGATTTCTAAGTTTGATTCCACACATTCACCGCTTAATAGAGGGTTGTCGGGCATGTACAAATCTGCCTCTACATCTTCGTTCATTTTGTTTCTATATTTAATACTTATCAACCCATCAACCTGCATTAGTATACAGGTGACACCATTTGTGGCGTTAAAACGATAGGTTGATGTGGTTGCGTCGTGATTCATTGACGTAACCTGAAGAAGCAAATGGTAGTCGTTAAGCGTCAAAAATATTTCACATTTATTAGTTACCGATGGCGATTTAGTCGTATATTTAGTGACCCTCGGAGTTTTTGTTGTAAATGCACTCAGCTGCAGGCCTTGCCCAGTGGTAACTGTAAAAATAATAAAATCTTTGTATAAACTGTTATCAGCTCAAGTATTGATTTTCTACTCTCTCAGCCAGCTATCTCACTACGACTTTCCTTTATTTTGGGCAAAGCGACCCCCATCATCCCTTATACTTACCACAGAGCATAAAAAGTGTATAGAGCAATCGTCTCATATTAATACTGAATGGATGCTATCTCTATCAGCTTAAAATTAATCAAATTCAGGAATAATTTAATTATTTATTGTTTTTTTATCTGTAAGATTTTTTTTTACTATTTTTATTTAGCTCTATTCGCTCGGCGCCAGAAATATGTGGCTTGTCTCGAGTCCTGCGCACAACTGCCGTCAATAAATTTTTCGTTGAGGGACTTGTTTTTTATATTAGGTTGGTGGTGTAGTTAAATTTGGCACTCCAATTTTGCACAATTCATGTTTTTCAATTATAAAGTTTCAAGCCCACGAACAAATGCAACTGTTATATAAATAATTTAAAAATAATTATAATAATATAATAAAATTAATTATAAGTATAAATAATTTTATAATTATATAAATAATTTTACAATTTTATAAATAATTTACAAAAAATTGATATAAATTTAAATACCAACCAATAACATTTGGTTTTTGAGCTATTTATGCTTCAAAGTGATAACGAAAAAATTATAACAGTATGAGGGCATAAAGCCGTGGCAAATCTCTGCTCATTCTCTGAAAAAGTTTTTGAAGCTATACATAAACATAGGACTCTACTTATTATGTATGCATGTTTTTTTTTATTCCTTTTTTACTCCCCTTGGGAACTAAGAACTTTTACAAGAAAAGTTTTTCCATCTAACTCTCTATTTTTTTAGCCTGTCTGTTATCGCTGTATCCCATGTGGTGTTGTTTCTGGGTAATTATTCCTGAAATGTAGTCCGCCGCCAAGTTGTCCTTTTGTTGTCCGAACCGTCTGCTTCCTTGCGGGTGTTCCTCCAGTCTTGGGCCATCCTTAACATCGAAATGGAGTCGTTTTGGGTTAGTTTGTTCTTGTATAAGTTTACATAATCATATTGTTGTCAGTCGACCAGTCGATTGGACAGATGCGACTTATCCCAGTGGTGGGGCTACCACCTGTCGCCGCCGGGGAAGAGGCGTCTTGGAGAGGTTATACTATTGTGTTGTCCAGTTCTTTGGTGGATAGATGACCACGACGTTGAAGGCATGTATTTAGGAGAGTTTTTTCGAGAGGAGAAATATTTTAGGCCATGCTCTCGCCATGAGTGGGGTTCGAACACACGACCTCTTGTTTGGAGTGCGCGTGCGTTATCCACTACGCCACCGAGGCCCCCAGTGGTATATAATTGTATTTTATTAATTGAGTTTTAATAAATATTTTAATATACTTCTATTTTTGTGACAGTGGCTACAGGGTGTTTAAGAGAGGGTTTGAAATTCTGGACTGTGATATTCCATTATTATTATACTCTGTACATGAAATGTACAAGAGTATACTAGGTTTGCGCGAACTGAAAAATATAACAGGTAGAAGGAGGCGTGGTAGACCCCACAAAGTATCAGCATGACAAGACGAGTCGATCTATGTCTGTCTGTCTGTCTGTCTTTCTGTCCGTCTGTCTGTCCGTATGAACACCTGGATCTCAGGGACTATAAAAGCTGGAGGCACCAAATTTTAGTCCAAGATGCCTTTTGTGAATACGCAGAAAATGTGTATTTTGGAATTTCCTTCCCTCCCCCCTCTCCACCACAAATCGTAACACCCGTAATTCTTGGAATTTCGAACTCAAATTTTGCAAATATCCCCAGTTAGTCATTATGTGTCCGTATTTCATTCAATATGATAGATCGATTTAACAAGAAGTTATATCCATAAATATATTTGCTGCCCAAGCGCTACCCAACCGTTGCCCGCAGCTGTTGTTGATGCTGATGCTTTGGTTGACTACAAACACAGACACGAATAGGCGCGCATAAACATACATACACTCACACAGACGCAATTGCTATGTAAATGTGCAATTATACACCCTTTACGTGAGTTCGAATACCAGGAGAGGTAAAATTGATAAAATTTTTTTTTTTTTAAATTTTCTTAATTGTTTTTAATTTCTATAATTGTTCTACACCCGACTTTAGCTGTATTACTTGTTTTTGAAAAGCGAAATGAAATAGAAAGAATAATTGCGTTTTGAATTTTGAGCGTTTTAAATAGCCAAATCAACCATCATAAACAAAAACTACAAAAGCCAAAATGAAACTGAAAAAAAGTATCTAAAAAGTATCACTCGATCTAGATCGAGAAGACATTGAAAAACAAGTAAAAAAGCTAAAGTCGGGTGTCCCGACTTTGAAATACTCTGTACATATGTTTACAATAATTATAGAAAATAAAAAAAATTAAGAAAATAAAAAAAAATTTATCGATTTTACCTCTCTCGGTATTCGAACTCACGTAAAGGGTTTATAATTGCACATTTACATAGCAATTGCGTCTGTGTGAGTGTATGTATGCCTATGCGCATCTATTCGTGTCTGTGTAAGCATTTTCGCAGTCAACCAAACAGCAACATCAACAACAGCCGCGGGCAGCGCTTGAGCAGCGCTGCAGCAGCAAATATATTTATGCCTATAACTTCTTGTTAAATCGGTCTATCATAGTGAAACTTGGAAACTTCCAAAATTTTAGTTCGAAATTCCAAGAATTACGGGAGTTACGATTTGCGGGGTAGAGGGGGGAGGGAGGGAAATTCCAAAATACACATTTTCTGCGTATTCTTATAAGGCATCTTGGACTAAAATTTGTTCCTAGGTCTTATAGTCTCCGAGATATAGGCGATTATACGAATGGAAAATCGGGAAAACCTCCATAGGGGGGAAGTGGGGGGGAATCAAAAAAATAAAACAAACTCGTATAGAATACACACATAAGGCATCTTTGTGCAAAATTTGGTCTCTCTATCTCTTATAGTCTCTGAGATCTAGGTGATCATACGGACGGACAGACGGACCGACGAACAGACAGACAGGGCTAAATCGACTCGTCTTGTCATCCTGATCAAGAATATATATACTTTGTGGGGTCTGCCACGCCTCCTTCTGCCTGTTACATTTTTCAGCTCCCGCAAACCTAATATACTCTTGTACATTTCATGTACAGAGTATAAAAAGCATTTAATGATATATTTATTTTCAATACTGTAATAATTAAAAAATAAAAAATTTTAAATTAAAAAAAATATATAAATAAATATTTAGGTATTATTTTATTATTACATTTTGCATTATGCAGAGCCATGTTCATAAAAAATCACCTTTTTAGGTTTTTGAAATAATAACCGTGAATATTTAAAAATACTATTCACTGCTTACTATACACAACTGACTGCTTTTTAAGTCAAAACTAGACTATTGCGCTGCACCAACGTTTTGGATAATATATACCATTTCCGTACGTATACCTAGGATAACAACCTAAGACCCCTTTTTGTCTGTTCAAATGCTTTAAGCCAAAAAAAAAAAATCACAACTTAGTAATGGGTTAAAAAGATAGCAAGACCTCATATTTTAAATTACACTAGCTGTAATAAATGTTATGCATCATTTTGGTTGTACTATATTAAGTATGGGTCAAATAGGACCGCTTAGGTTTATTTTGGTATCCATAATGCAAAATACAATGTTCCTAATAGCTGTTACAGCGAATCTACCTTTTATGTATTCTTCTTATACCCGTGGCAGCGCATTTTTCGCTGATTTTTTTCCGAAGTTGCGGCACTTTTTTTGCTCTGGTACACACCGGCGGATCCGGGCGGATGAAAGTTTTTAGGGTTAGGTAAAGGAATATCTCGTGAACATATTTTAAAAATACGGGAGAGGTACAGGTAGTTTTCTAAAAATCATTTTCTAGAGAACTACTATTGCAAAAAGCACAATTTTAATTAAATAATGCATACAATTAATACACCTAGTAATATAAATCAAAACATTAATGATTAGTCACATAATTTAGCTAATATTATACCTGAAAGATGAAGTATTTGCATAAAATTCAAATTTTCGTTGCGAGCTAAAAAAAAGGGTCAACTTTGAATGCATATATCTAATATATATAAATCCGAAAGAAATAGACAGCAAACCAACCCTCATAATCTAGAGGGGAGTACTGTGACAGCACTGTCGCACACATAGCATATGAGCGAAGCGATGCTGACACCGACACATTGTAAAACTCTCGAGATTAATAAATAATGGCTTAAAAGGCCAAAATCTATGTTATTTATCTATACTGCAACAAAACGACTCGATCGAATTGAATGATTATTTGTGAAGGCATTCATTCATGTATTTTTATAGCCTGTACCCAAAGGGTAAAAGGCTATACTAGTTTTGTGCGAATGTATGTAACACACAGAAGGTGGCGTGGCAGACCCCACAAATATATATATTCTTGATCAGGATGACAAGGCGATATAGCCATGTCCGTCTGTCCGTAAATCTATATGAACGCAAGGATCTCAGAAAGTATAGGAGCTGGAACGAGCTTTTTAATTAATTCAAATTTTTTAAATAATTTAATTTTTTTTTAAATATATATATTTTTTAATTTTTCTTTTTTGTGGAGAGAACAGGCTATTTCTCTCTTGTTTTCTTTTGATGAAAGGACTGCCTTAATATGCTTTGGTGTATCAATTAGAATGCAGCAGCATATGATGTAGATGACGTTTCGCGGAGACCTTGCAACCTGCTCTTTTTCGCTCACATTTTTATACTCTGTACATGAAATGTACAGAAGTATATTAGGTTTGCGGGAGCTGAAAAATGTAACAGGCAGAAGGAGGCGTGGCAGACCCCACAAAGTATATATATTCTTGATCAGCATGACGAGACGAGTTGATCTAGCCCTGTCTGTCTGTCTGTCCGTCTGTCCGTCCGTATGAACACCTGGATCTCAGAGACTATAAGAGATAGAGACACCAAATTTTCCACAAAGATGCGTTATGTGTGTATTCTATACGAGTTTGTTTTATTTTTTTGATTTTCCCCCTCACTTCCCCCCTATGGGGGTTTTCCCGATTTTCCATTCGTATTATCACCTATATCTCGGAGACTATAAGACCTATGGTCACCAAATTTTAGTCCCAGATGCCTTATGTGAATACGCAGAAAATGGGTATTTTGGAATTTCCCCTCTCCCATGCAAATTGCGATTTTATCTAACTCCCGTAATGCTTGGAATTTCGAACTAAAATTTTGGAAATACCCCCAGTTAGTAATTATGTGTCCGTATACCAAGTTTCACTATGATAGACCG